CACACACACACACACACACACACACACACACACACACACACACACACCCCTTAACCGGGAGTTTCTTTGGTTCTCTTGAGTCCCACTCCCAGATTCCAATCTAAGAGGTCAGAGGTGATTACAATCACAGCCTAAGACTTGTGTTTAGTGAAACTGGCTCTCCCTGATATCTCAGCTGAGAAATCCTCACTAACATGGGCCTTTTATTCTCTTAGTCATACAAAGGTTTGCAAAGAAAGAACCTGCCGACTCTAGCTTGCCACTGAACAGGCGATAATATGACGATTTCTGATCATTGTGTGTCTGCGCACATCACAGTTCTGTCACACGGACTGGGGAGGCCATTGACCCCGATTTCCTGTGGCTGTACTAGATCATGCCCCAGGATTCAAATGTATATAAAGCACACATGGCTCTTAAAATCAGGCCAGATCACGCAAGAAGCTTTCTTTATTCGGTCCCTCTGGTAGGTCACATGAGCCGAGTCTGATTCACACACATGAGGGTGCTCTGAATGCAGGAGGAGAATGGGAAGTTCATCCGAGTCCACAGCAGAGTCCCAGCCAGCTCTCCCTCCACACCCCTCTCCGTTTCTGCTCCACCAATCAGCTCTCTCAAGCTCCACCTCTACCATTCACCTTCCCCAAGACTCTTTTCAGGAGTATATTCAAATGTCTTTTTTCAGACACTGTTCCTGGCATTCAGAGAAAGGCTACTGCCTCTTATATTTTAGACCCACTGGCTTATATTGGTCTCACTCTTCCAGGACCCTAGCAGGGACTTCCGCTGTAGCCACTAAGAGCACCTACTGTGCACATTTGCTATGCTTCTTTTTAAGGTGAACTTGCCCATTTCCCCCCCCCCTCTCTCTCTCTGTCTCTCTCTCTTCCCCCCCCCCTTCCTTCCTCTCTTTTTCTCATTTGCCACTCTTGTTTCCAGGGACTGGTCTCTGCCCCCCTTCTCTCCCCTCTTCCAATAAAGCCCCTATGTGAGCCTTGTGACTTCTCTTCGTGACATTTTTTTTTTCAGATTACAACAGTGGTGGCGGTAGTTGTGGTGGGGAGTCTTCATTCTACAGCCACGGATTGTCTCAGACTCAGTCTCCCTGCCTCAGCCTGGAGAGCATCACCAATGCCTGGTTACTATAGTCGTGTTCTTAAAATAAAGATTTTACAAGATATTTTAACTAGAGCAGTTTTAATTTTTTATCAAAAAGTATTTTTATTTTTTGAGATAGCATCTATCTTTGTAGCCTATATGTCCTAATGCTGACTGTGTAGCCCAGAAACATTTCAATGCACAAGAGATTAGCCAGCCTTAGCCTCTCGAGCTCTGGGATAACAAGCATGCGCCACCACACCCCACATTAAAATTGCCTTAGAGTCTTCATTTCAGTGGCCCTCACATCTTTCTCTTTTGCTGAATAGTAATGGGATGACCTTGAACACTAGAGGGAATCACGGCGAATTGAGATTGAAATAAAATTATGTGGCTGTGAATATAGAAGAGGTATATAACTCAAGATCCAACCATGGATACAAAACCTAAGAGAGAGCTTGTAGTGGTGGCAAACTCCTGCTATCTCAGCACTTGGGAGGCAGAGACAAGAGGATACAGGTTCATCATCAGCCTAGTAAATCCATGTCTCTAAAAATAAAGACAGGGAGAAGAGACTAGGAAATATTAGCAATGAAAGTGAGACAGAGACTGTCTTATTCGATCATACCAGAATGGCTAAGCATGCCTCGGTGCATAAGTCAAGTCATCAAAAAAGGAGGACCAGGGGAGAACTGGAGTTCGCTTGGTCAAAGCTGTGGAATTTTTTCCTTCCAGTTATCACAACTAAAAGAAACTTCATTTCTGATGTCGACACACCCACCACATTGTAGTAAAGCGCTGACCCGTTGACATGCCCACCACATTGTCGTAATGTGCTGATGGTAGGTCTGCAGCTCCACTTTCTGGGACCAGGCACTACGTTTTACATATGTGTAAATCTACATAGGATGCACCATGCCCCGCTGATCTATTTGACAACAGAATGGATCAGTGCATAGGCATAAGCTTTAGTGGATGCTGAAAGATACAGGAGCAACCCAGACTCTGTCAATCACCCACAATTTTAGAATTAAAGTTGCACTCTATTCATGGGTTTTTTTCTTTTTTTTTTTTTTAAGTTTGACTGGGAGAAGAGTGCTTACGAATCTTCTGACTACTGAACAGTGTTGAAAGCCAGAAGCTAGTCTAAGACCAGTGAGGAGTTCAACAGCTTTGAAACTACTAATCTCAGGGATAAACTTCCAGTTAAAAACATGTGCATACACCAAACCCATGATAACAGCCCAAACCATAAGAGAATGAGGAAGATCCACACAGAGACGGCTCTTTTCTGCCCAAGACCCCCTTTTGAATGCACCTCTGATGAACTAGTGCAGCCTTGGATGGGCACCTGCTTACACAGGAGATATCTATTTGGTTGTGCACTCAAGGGAAGAATGTGAGAGTGTGAAATACAATATTCAGCAGTCCTGTCAAACAAAGTTGTTCCTTGAAATGACAGTATTTATAGGTTTGTGATGAACACTGTTTGTAGTACAAAGTATCTTCTATGGAAATACAACCCTAAATTACAATGAATTGGTGCGCATAAAAGACTGCAAGCTATGCTCACTTGTGTATTTCTCGTTTCATACTTGCCATTCTTTTCATGTATCTCAAGGAGGATGTGTGGGGCAGGCACACAGACACACAGAGAAAGGAATCTTCTCCTTCATGTCATTTCCCAGCCACTGCCTTGACACTGCGGCCATTATTTCTGTTGGAACATGCTTGATTTGAATAGGTTTCATTTTCACCAATAAAATGAAAAGCAGCTTGCTTTCTAGTCTTTGATGTGCAGAAGGGAGCTATTTGTGCCCAACAGCATCTCTCATGATTCCTCACATCTCAATTCCCATTCCTTCTCCCTATCCCATGTGTAAGCTTGGATCCTGGCAACTCCAACTCCATTACACCCCTACTCAGTCACTTGCTTTTTAACCTTTTTTAAATTATGGGCTTTCTTGAAAACATAATTACTCTGTCCTCAAAGAAAAACCCACAAGGACACATGCACACAAACCCAAAAAATTCTAGTATGTCATGATGGTACAAACTATACTTCTTAAACTGGGGAGATTGAAGCTAGAGGACTCCAGCAATCTGAGTCCAGCCTAGGCTACATAGTGAGTTTAAAGCCAGCCTAGACTGCATAGCAAGACTGTACTTCAAAAAAAAAAAGCCACAAACAAAGAAGGGAAAGGAAAGAATGCATTTTACATAATCTTCACCTCAGAAATGCAGGACAAAGAGGCAAACCTTGGCTAAAAAACTGTTGTGCATGACCCCTTAGTCAAATAAAACCTTAAGGCTGGTTGTGCTATCATACTACTGTAATCAGTATTGGAGATGCAATGGCACAGGGACCAAGAATTTGAGGTCAGCCCAGAAAGATGTCTCAGAAGGTAAGACACTTGACAGCCTGAGTTTGTTCCCTATAATCCACATGATTCAAGGAGAGAACCAACTCCCATAAATGTCCTCCGACCTCCATTTATGTGCCTGTGTGGCACACGGGTAAATGGGAGCGCGCGCGCGCGCGCGCACACACACACACACACACACACACACACACACACGGTGTAAGAGGTCCTTCTGTATTTGTGTTGCTTTCATTGGTTAATAAAGAAACTACTTTGGGCCTGGTGATAGGGCAGAGCTTAAGTAGGCGGGGAGACAGAACTGAATTCTGGGAGGAAGAAAGCAGAAGCAAAGAGCTGCCATGGAGATGCCAGGTCAGACATGCTAAATCTTTCCCGGTAAGCCATGACCTCATGGTTATATACAGATTATTAGAAATGGGTTAAATCAAGATGTGAGAGTTAGCCAATAAGAAGTTAGAGCTAATGGGCCAGGAAGTGTTTAAATGAATACAGTTTCTGTGTGATTATTTCAGGTGTAAGCTAGTCGGGCAGCCGGGACAAACAAGGGGTCCTGCTCTCCCTGTAACACACAAACACACAGAGAAAGTCACCAAGTCACACATATATACACATAAATACAAATAAATCTTTAAAAGTTTAAAAAGCCTGGGACTACATAGACTCTGTCTTAAAACAAATAACCAAACAAACATAAGAAGAGGCTCTGGGGTAACTGTAGGAAATTCAAAACCTACAAAAATATTTCACAATTGACATAAAACTTTATCTAAAGCAATATTTTTAAATAAGAAGAAATTACTAGAGGGGAACAGGGTCATTTGGATGTCTCATTCCCAACAGTGGTACCTTTGATTGTTGGATGCTGAGTTGCATCACTGTTAAGATGGAGGATCTTAGATGATCATGCAATTGTTATAAAAGAATGTACCTTCTACAGCATTCAAGAAGGGGAAAGTTTAAGTTGGCATTTCTCTACAAATAATTCATTTATTTTAATAGTAAAATGTAAAGTAACTAAATTGTGTATCCAAGCAAATTTATACTTAACAAGATCACAAAAATCCAGTAAAAATGATATCTTTAATGTTTATTTCACATTAATTCATCACATTAATTAGATAATGATATTTATTATCTAAGTACACCCTACGCAAATTTACACTTTTTCACATAGTCACCTTCCTGATATACATACAACAGGACACAGAATGCATTTGCAGCATTCAGCCTGTCACATCTTGCCTGGGACAAACAAGAGTCTCAGTAGCTTTATTATTTGACAGGTAGATAAACACAGTTCTCAATAACTGGCATGAATCACGACTGCTAAAAAAGAAACTGAGTGCACACTCTTATTCCATCTGGGGTTATGTACACTTGTTTATCTTAACATGGTCTTCTAATTGTTGAGTTACAATTAGGAGCATAACTTATTTCTAGGAGCTCCTTAAAATACTCCAAGTGGCCTAGGTGGTTATTTCACAACCTCTTGAAATCTGCAGCGTTGACATGAGATACCTACCACCAATGGAGCAGTGTTGAGATTGTAGTGCTGTGCATTCAGCTAGGTATTTTCAAAAGTGGTAGTCAACACGGTTACCACTCTTTAAAAGAAAATCTTCCCAGACTAGCAAAGGAGCAATTGTTGTTTCCATGAGGCGAAGAAAAAAGACAGACTGGTGCAACCCAGTACAAATTTTAAAAGAAACAATCACCCTGAAGTAACAAACTGAAAACTTTAGTTAAAATTGCATGAAATTAAAAGATAAGATGGTTGCCCTACGGTACTAGATGACCGCATGCTCGTTCTGTTCGATGTTGCCCATGAGATCTTTCGTGTCACTTGTTCCTGGACTCTGATGACTGTCAAAGTAGAGCGTGTTCTCAAAGGTGGCCTCCTGCGGTAGGTGCAGCACACGCCTTTTCTTATAGAGGAAATACGCAGCGGCACCCGCGCCCATCAGAATCAGGAGGACCACGATGACCACGCCAGCTGCTCTGGAAGACCCCTTGGGCTGAGGATCCATCTTCCTATGGTCAGCTATACAAATCAAACGATTAGCATACAAATAGAGGGGCCGGAGATTTGATGCTACGAAAAGCAGTACAGCTGGCTCTGGAAGACCCCTTGGGTGGGGGGACCCATCTTCCTTTGCACAGCTATAGACAAATCAAGTCATTGACGGGGGACAAAGGCTTGACACTATGGAAAACATTACAGCTGATCTTGCTGGGAAGCTCTGATGCGTGAATATTCTTTCAAACAGTATTTGCCACAAGGTGTGAAAGCAGAAGTCAGTGTGACATGGGTGAAACTTTAACATGTTCAGATGGTGTCTTAGTTCTTGGACTATTTCATCCTTATTTAGTTGTTAAAATATTTCACCTCTATCTATTAACACTGATGTAGTTCATCAATTGAAATTCACACATACACCTTGTAGCAAAATAATTGAAGGATGCCTGGAGGGGAGGCTCAGGGGTTAGGGGCACTTAATGCTCTTCTAGAGAACCAGAGTTGGTTTCCAGCACCCACCCCTGACAGCTCACGTTAGCTCCAGAAAGGAGATCTAATAGTTTCTCTAGCTCCTCCATGCAATCATACATGTATGGCAGCCTCTCACACAGACACAACATGTCAATACATACAAACACACATTACAAAAAAATAAAAATATTTAAAAATGAAACAATAATTTAAGGC